TTATATTTATTTATATTTAATGTTTCTGTTCTTTTCATGCTCTATCTGCACAGTTTGAAGTATGTATATTTTCCGTCTGTGACTTTTAAGCTAAAAGCTTGGCAGACGAGATTTGGAGAAGGCAGATCTGAAAAGGTCGCGAGATTGAAAAGAGAGAGAGTATCGCGAGACGATTGATGAAGAGCGTTGTTGTTGCTACTGTAACCGAGATTGTTTTGGGTGTTGTAAGTGTTCCTGAAATAAAAACCCGACCTTAAATCTTCATAAAACGCACGTGTGGACCTCGTGTGTAACACGTTCTCTCTAAACAGACTTTAAACGCGAACCTGTGACCTGATGGCGTTCACATGCGCATTAAGAATTGATTCTATAGCCCAGTTATATTCGTTTGAATATATGTGCGCAGGTTTGTAATTTCCCTACAAACCATGCCTAAACAAACTACTTGTCTTGCCTATACATTAGATAAAGAATTTTGTTTTATTTTATCACTTCGGGTTACGCGAACCGGATTTTCAACAATGCTTTATCTGTAGAGTGGGAAAGGGATCCTCCATAGGGAGAGGATAGTTGACACTTCAGCACTGCATTGTCATCGGGTCCAGGCGAAGCTCCTTCGTCAGATCTGGATACGGCCTGGAAAGCATGACATTCGGAGGTTACCACATTATATTATGTTTTATTTATAATTTGAATGTTTTTAACAAATCAGTTAATGTAAGAATTAGCCTACTATATTACCGTATGTTTAAAGGGGGTCGCACACCGGACGAGAAGCGCAGCAACGGCAACGGCTCAGGACCTTGTTCAAAATCCTGCCGCACCACAGAGCGCCATTTACATATTTTTATATAAAATTTACATTTATTTGTCTCAGATCGTCGTTATGTATAAACTGACTTCACCCTGTGCTGCAATAAAAATTTAGTTTTACATTCATTTACATAAATCAGCTGGTTGAATGAAAATTGCTGATGGATTTTCAGGTGATATTCTCAATTCATTCAGTTAACGGACACTCTGAGATTAAGTGAATTCAGACTGCAGACTAAGCAACGTAATTAATTGAACAGTACAATCATAACATAATACAGACATGATCTTAATTCCATAATGTCCTTAAACATAACAATGTTGCTGGCCATAAACTGACAAAGAGCGCGTCCGGTGTGCGATACCTCGAGTTGTCATGGACGCGGTGCGGCGCTACGCTTCTCGTCCAGTGCGACCCTTTAGATTATTGGCAGCATAAAAAAACGAAACGATGTGACAGCCATGGGCTGAATAATACAAGTTACTGGTAATATCCACCGAACCTATGAACTTGTCGCCCGAAACACATCAACAAGAAAGAATGAAGGCTACCCTGTAAAACAACTGCAATCATGTGATACAAAATGACCCTATTCATCACTATCATCATCATCACGATCCTCAACTACCAGTACATTGGCGAATTCCTCCTCCTCCTCGCTCTCCTCCACTTCTCCCTCTCCGGCCTCCGCTAACTCTGCCTGCCTTGCTTGAGCAGGGCTCTTGCCCAGATGCGCAGGGCTCTCTTGCGTGCGCAATCTGCACCATAGATCTGGCTTAAACAGACGATCTGACGGGTTTTAGAAGATTAAATACAACCCGAAACTAAAAAACAGACCAGGCCTCTATTTGAGACCAGCCTTTATTTATCCAAACCTGTAGCCACACCAGGCATGTAAAAGAGACGGGCGTCTATTTGGGACTCGGCTATTATTTGAAGTTTTACGGTATTAGTAGACTGGTAGGGTAAGGGTTAGAATAAGTTGACATGTACTTGAAAAGTTACTTATAAGTCATGCGAGTTCCCAAACATGATGCATGATGGGATACGCTTAGCCTCAAATACCACTCCGAAGCGGTATTCAAGATGGTGTGGGTTTAGTGTATGTTAAGGGCACTGAGCTTTGGCATTTTTAAGACATGGGACAGTCTTGCGCACTTACTTCCTGTCACATGCACATGTGGTTAAGTAATCAAGTGTGGATTTTTGCACAGGCACTTTGTCTATCTGACACATTGAGGGGGCATTTACATTACACAATTTTCAACTAAAAACTTATGCATTGACACCTGGCCCAGATGTTTGGAAGCCATTTCATCTCCCCATGGCTAAAAATAAATGTTTATGAACTAAAGAAAATGTCCCCAAAGATTTATATAAATTGGATGATAATCTAGTTCCACAGAGTCGCTTACACCGCAGAACCCCTTCCACTTATTAAGAAACTTTTGTCAAATGGAAAGCTTTCATGGGTGTTTAATAGGGCTGTGTATCACCAACAACGTGACGATACGCATCACAATATTAAAGTCACGATATGGATCAATTTGGAATGTAAATTTCTTTTGACCAGAGTTTAGTTACAGTAATATCTTACTATTGAATAACCAGTATCATAAGAGTTGTGATAATTGAAAAACTATCATAAAAAAGTTAAATGCAATAAAAAAATAAAAAGTAAACAAAAAGCTTAGAATGGCTCTTCCTTCTGCTTTTTAAAGTCTCTGCCTCAATAACTGAAATGTTAATTAGTGTCAATTATAGTAACACTGAACCGTGTCAACAATGCTCAATTCCACAAAAGCAAAAACAACTTAAAAGTAACTTAGTTAAACTGTGCAGAAGAGTGTGACAGCAGAAAGTCTCGCTTAACTTTATCATACAACCAGGAAATTGCCATTTCTGTTAAAAACTGACGTGTTGGTATTGTGTAGCGTGGCTCACACTCGTGAAGCAATTGTCTAAAGCCGTTATTCTCGACCACGCTGGATGGCCGTAAATCCTGACATATGAAGCGCATTAATGCATTTGAAATCTTTTGAGAGTGCCGAGAGATGGGTGCGAGTTGAGATAAAAGCATCAGGCAACAGTGGCTGCTTCTGAGAAGACAGGTGTGTGCTGCTACTTGTTCCACCAGGGCTTTTCTTGCATATCACATGACTCATGTCCAACTCTCCGGTTTACTGTTAAACTAAGTTCATGACGTTGTATCGATTTTCTGAGCACAGCTCTTGTGTACAGTAGTACATATGAAAGCACTATATAAATGCCTCAGTAGGTATGGTTTTCACCAGATATTATTCTGGGTTAAACAAATTGTAACAAACGAATGGCTTCAAAAGCATAACCTTGAGCTTTCACTAGTGGTCTTTAAAGCTAGTTTTTACAGCTAATGTGCATGTTCAATCCTAAATGCATGTCTACAAAACATTGACTATCACTGGCAACACTGGAGCTTCTGTAGGCAGCTGTGGTGATGTGAAGAATTGTTAACGCTTTATTTTACGACCCGCAAACAACAGCGTAAGTAAACCGAAAATACAGTGTACGTTTCTGTAATTATAGGGTACTTCCGTGTAGGTATAGGGCAACAATATGTTAAGTTTGGGGTATTAAAGGGGTAACAAGCAGATAGTATACAACCTGCAAATAACTTTGTAAGTAAACTGAAATTACGGTGTACGTTTCTGTAAATATAGTGTACCTCCGTGTAGGTATAAGGTAATAAAGGGTAATAAACAAGCTATGCAAGCAAATTATTTATAATGTAATTATTTTAACAGGGACCTATTCTGTTAATATATTCCAGGCAAAAATTGTACGTCTGTTGTGTATAAAAGTTATCAAATTTCTGGCAAAATATGTTCTTGTGCAATTATACATTTAATTCGGCATCTGTGGGTTGATTTAACATTATTTAATCTAGTAAGAAAAGCCAATAAATTCATTTTTTATCATACTGTGCTTACATACAGCCATACACGTTTCATTTTCAACCCACAGATGTCAAAATTACCCTGTAAAATTGCACAAGAACATATTTTGCCAGAAATGTGATGATAACTTTTATATACAACAGACGTACAATTTTTGCCTGGAATATATTAACATAATAGGTACCTGTTAGTTTTAAAATAATTACATTATAAATAATTTGCTTGTATATATGCTTGTTACCCCTTTATTAGCCAACCCAAAACTTAACATATTGTTCCCTTATACCTACACGGAGGTACACTATAATTACAGAAACGTACACCGTAATTTTGATTTACTTACGAAGTTATTTACAGGTTGTATATCTGCTTGTTACCCCTTTATTACCCAAAACTTAACATATTGTTCCTTATACCTACGCGGAAGTACGCTATAATTACAGAAACGTACACTGTAATTTCGGTGTACTTACGCAGTTGTTTGCGGGTCGTAAAATAAAGTGTTACCGAAGAATTTACTAATTGGTGATTTGCTCTTTAGGAATTACACCATTGTACTGCACCTTCATAGCAATATGAGTGCATGGTCTTGGTGTATGTAAAGTCTTTGGGATGACTCTGTTGGTAACCACAATCTTTTTACAGCTGAATGAGGATGAGCTCGTCTACACCTACAGAAAATGTAAGCAGTGATGCCTTGAGGCCAAACGATCTGCGGCTGGAGTGCCCGCTTGAGCCTCTGGGGGGCACGCCTTCCTAGTTTATTGTTTCCTATATGTTTTACCCTGGACTGATTATGGTTTATTTATTGCACCTGTTTTAGATTGAGCTTTCCTGATTTAAGCCTGAGTTTTCCCTTTGTTCGGGTTTCAGTATTGTAAGTGTCTGACTGCATCCTAAGCGTTTTTCCTAGTTTCTTAGTGTTTCACGGACTCCCTGCCTGTATCTGGCCTTCCCGTCTGGCTTATCCCTGCATGGTATGATTGCTGATCTGGACTGCTTACCTGGTTTTGACCCCTGCATGTTTCCCTGTACCTGTCTCTGGATTCTCCTCTTAATAAAGCCTGCGTTTGGATCACCTCTGTCCATGTTCCATGTGCAGTTTCATGACAATGGGTCCCTTATGCCTCAGAGGCAGGTCAAGAAGTCTTGCTGTTCTCCCTGAAGATCATGATGGGTTGGTGCAGTTTTTTTCTTTCAATAAAATGAACCTTTACCCTTGCTATTGTGGCGGTGCCTATTTTGTGTAGATGATTGGTCCTATCAGAGGCCTACGTACTCCTATTTCCTGGGTGGCGTTATTAACCGAGGCATCTGTGAAGCAGTACAATCATGTGCCTCTGCGTGTGTTTGTGGACAGCTGTGTGGCCACTCAAGTACCTGATGTGAACTCTCTTCCGAGATATTCCTTCATTGAGAATTATGGGTAAGGTCATGGCCTTTGATGCGGTAGGACTGTTTAAAGTTGCTTTTTGTAACTCGTCACAGAGTCCTGGGTAAGGTCTAGTTAATTGATGCTCTATAATTGACATTCATGAGTTGCTCTTTGTGATTGTTTTGTCGTCAGGTGCTTTGTGGATGCCAAAACTACAGCTTCCAGCTCCCGCTTCATGCCTCGGTCCCAGGTTGACAAGATCCAGTTCCAGCTGGAGGCGTTTATGTTCCAGGAGGGCAACAGTCCTTCTGTATGTACAATGAATATCATTAGTTTACTTGACTTTCCTCCCATCTGCCCTGGTTTTGTGACTTGTCTGTCACCCCTTGCAGATCTACATAACGTGTATTCTGAAGGCAACTATTGCTTCACCCAGTGATGCTCAGCGCAAATCCTGTTCCTTTGCCAATGGGTATGTGAATTTTTAATTTTTATTTTTTTTAGGACACTTACACTAGCACTTTTGGTGCGCACCTGGGTTCGAATGACGTCAGTGTTCGGTTCGTTTGGATGATGTGAACGCTGTCTTCCAAACTCGGGTGTGCACCTAAGAACCGTACTCGAATCCGCTTAAAAAGGGTGGTCTGGGGTACATTTCATGTGAACTCAGTACGGTTCGCTGTTGATATGAACGCAATTGTACCAAATCGCGGAAGTGAACCACTATTGATGACGTATAATGTGATCCTGTAACTTTTGCGGCAGACAGACGAAAGTGTGATTCTGTATCTTTTCTTTGAAAACAAAACCAAAAGTTAAAAAAAGAACAAATGTGAAGCGAAGTTATTCTATCCAAATTTGAAGCCTATTCATTCATCGCAAGCAACACGATTACGCGCCAGCTGCAGCTTGATGACGCAAGCGTACTGCGGTTCCGATATAAATTATATAATGTGAACACAGTCAATCTGGGGGAGGGGGGAGCAATCGAACTCTGGTTTGGAACAGGCAATCTAACCAAATGTGAAGCGCCCTAAAAGTTGACTTTTCTCATGTTGAAGGTTCCATGTCTTTGTTTTATTGCAGGTGGTTTGCTGCTGATGGTAATGACCAAGTTTGTGGTTGCTGTGACTCAACATGTGGTCCTGATGGTGAATTTGCTGCTTCTCCCTATGGAGGTTGGTAGCTTTTGCTCTAAGGTTGCTTTTGATTCAAGTGCTCTAACTTGGCTTGTTTCTTCTCTCTAGGCATTCAGTGGGAAGGCAAGGCCTCACTTGGTCCTGTAATGGTTCAAGGGCAAAAGAGAGCTCAATAAAACCGCCAGATCAATCCTCGGTTGTATCTGACTTGTCATTTTTGCTTCATGTCTGGTTTAACTGCTTTTGGCTTGGAAAAAGTGCCTCATTCTGCCAATGTGGTGAAACTGATAGTCCTACTGTACTTTTCAAGCCCCATATAGCATGCAACCATTCGGTTCCAGAAGTAAATAACTTCTTTCTCCATAGGGAGTTTTAAATGATGAACCTTTTAAATACCACTAGTGAAAGCTCAAGGTTATGCTTTTGAAGCAATTCGTTTAATTGTTACAATTTGTTTAACAGACTATTTCCAGGTGAAAACCATACCTACTGAGGCATATGTACTACTGTACACTAGGGCTGTGCTCAGAATATCAGCGTCATGAACTCCTGACGATGTGCGCCTTGACACAGCAGCCAGCTACCGTATCAATTTGTCGTGCTTTTGAATGTAGCTAATTATCATGTGACGTCAATTGGTACCAATTTTAGCAACGCAAGACACTCAAAATGGATAAGATAAGAGGATTTTGGAGCACACACCTGTCACCTCAGAAGCAGCCAACGTTGCTTGATGCTTTTTAGCTCAACTCCCATCCATGTTTCAGTGCCCTCAAAAGATTACAAGTGCATTAATGCGCTTCATATGTCAGGATTTACGACCATACAGCGTTGTCGAGAATAACGGCTTCAGACAATTCACGAGTGTCAACCACGCTACACAATACCAACACGTCAGTTTTTAAGCTGTCACTCTTCTGCACAGAGAATTTAACTAAGTTAAATTTAAGTTGTTACAGTTTTTGCTTTTATGGATTTTGTTTAGTCATTGAGCATTGTTGACCCGCTTCAGTGTCACTATAATTGTCATTTCAGTTATTAAGGCAGAGACTTTAAAAGCAGGAGAGCCTATTTTTTTTTTTTTTACTCAAAGGCCCCGCAGTGCGCTCACCACATAGTAGCTGCAGGTGGAGAGGAGATGGGGATCATTAGGAGGCCATGATTGGGAAGGGCCAATGGAGGAAATTTGGCCAGGACACCGGGGTTACACACCTACTCTTTACGAGAAGTGCCTTGGGATTTTTAATGACCACAGAGAGTCAGAACCTTGGTTTAACGTCTCACCCGAAGGAGGGTGCTCTTAATTTGGCAAAAAAATCATTCCAAAAGAGCTGTTACGTTCATAGATATTCCTTTTTGCTTGTGCGCTCTCTCTCTCTCTCTCTCTCTCTCTCTCTCTCTCTCTCTCTCTCTCTCTCTCTCTCTCTCTCTCTCTCTCTCTCTCTCTCTCTCTATCAATTTCTTAGGTCATCCTTCTCCGCTTGTTGATTGGCCCAGGAAACTGTCAATCATCATCAAGGGATGTGACGTGGATCTATCCGCTGTCTGAGACGTCCTCACTACCAGTAAAAAGACGCTGGAAATAGACTGAAGAGAGTCCCGTTTTGATTTCTGGTCCTTTTGCTGCCATTGTGATTTTTGTTTTCGTTTGGGACTCGTTTGACTTGTTAATTTGCTTATGCTAGTTGTGTTTCTTAAGTTTGTTTTGTTACTTTGTTTGATTACTTTGGGATGACGTTCTTGATTCGACTTGTGTAGAGCTTGTGCTCTTTTGTTACCCTTTGCTCCAAGGAATGGGGGATAGGGAAGATGTCGTACGACTTCCATTGTGCAAACATCTAGACTAAACTTTGTATAGAAACACCAGGTAAGAGGTGAACGCCACCCTTGTATGTTTTGTTTTTGTGAGCCAGAGTAGGGAAGAACACGGCGCTTGGCGCTGAAGAAACAATTATTTTCTTTCCTTTTCTTTAGCTAGGTAAGAGGGTTGAATTTGGTTAGAATTGTTTTCTTTTTGTTTCTTTCTTTATTTTGGCGTCACTTTAGTCCCTTTTTCCTTAAGGGTAAATTGTTGTTTACTTTCTTTTTATTTATTACTTATCCTTGTTGTTAACTTTATATAATTGTTTATATTGCTGGAGGCTGTTAGCTTCCTAATTTTTCCTAAGTTACTTTATTGTTCATTCGTTATTCCTTATATTTTTTTCTTTGTATAATAAATATCATTATTTTCATTGGCAGTTTGGTTTCGCTTATCGTTTCTTGACACACACTACCATTTCCACAGTTTTACAAGGTTTTCTTTAATGTTACTCCTCTAACCCCTAGACTAGATTAGAGGGGTCGTAACATTAAATGGGGGCTCGTCCGGGATACAAATAGCAATGCAAATAGTTGTTGGTATTGGAAAGTGCCTGGAAGAAAATAAATGAAGACGGTAGTTCTGTGGATGTGTGGTGTTGTCATGAGATTGACGTTGCGCGGTTTGTAGTGTTGGGACCGGATAGTAATCACTCATGCAGGGTATTAGTGGGGTGCTTATCGGATTGTTATTCATTTTGGAAATGTTTAACTTGAAAGATTTTGTAGGTAGTCCGTCAGTAGAGCAGGTTGATCTGTGCAGGAAGCAGGAGTTGTTGCAGATCGCAGACCATTTTCAAATTGTGGTAAGTAAACAGTCTCTTAAAGAAGAAATAAAACAAGTTCTGATTCGCAAAGTGAATGAGTTGCAGGTGTTGCCTATGTCAAACGTGGGAAATGTTCCGGCGCAAGTCTGTCATGAGGAGGAAGCCACGCAGAGTGGTGGAGCTGTTGCTGACGCAGATGCGGAAGCCGAAGCTAAGGCCCATTTGGGGCGTTCTCACCCAGTTTTGTGGAGTCTCTTGCGCTATGAGGCGCAAGAGAAAGCCCCGGCGCGTCAAGCTAGCCTGAACTTGCAGCTGGAGGTACGCAGGCTGGAAATCGAAGCAGAGACGCAGCTGAAACTGAGGCAGCTTGAGTTGGAGGCGTCTAGAGTGACTGCTCACTCAGCTGTACTGTTGAACACCGCTTCAGTTTTTTCTCCTCCGCCGCACGTTGGTTCAAGCCCAGACACCTTTGACGTGAGTAAACACATTGCACTCGTTCCTCAATTTAGAGAGACAGAAGTTGACTCTTACTTCAGTGCGTTCGAACGCATCGCAACTTCTTTTCATTGGCCTAAAGAGGTTTGGTCTGTGCTCTTGCAATGTAGATTAGTGGGTAAAGCTCAAGAAATTTGTGCTACATTGTCACTAGAAGAGAGTATGAAATATGAGTCTGTGAAAACTGCTATCTTGAGAGCTTATGAGTTAGTTCCAGAAGCGTATAGACAACGTTTTAGAAAACACAGAAAAAGTCCTACACAAACTTTCACGGAGTTTGCTAGGGAGAAAGGAGTGTTGTTTGATAAATGGTGTACTGCCAGTAACGTGCGTGATTTTGATGCTTTAAGAGAACTGCTGTTACTTGAGGAGTTTAAAGGATGCTTACCTGATCGTGTTGTAGTATATCTTAATAAACATTAGGTAACTACTCTGTCACATGCTGCTGTCCTTGCAGATGAGTTTGTGTTAACTCACAAGAATGTGTTTTCTTCCACACGATTTGAGAAGTTAGAGTTCGATAATTCACAGTCTAAGAATTCACGTGCACGATTTAGTCCATCTCGTGATAAAGAGGAGCGTGAATGTTTCTATTGTCACAAGGAAGGACATTTGATTGCTGATTGTTTGCTATTGAAACGTAAAGCGCAGTCTCAACCGAAGGGTATGGGATTTGTACACACTGTTAAAACTGCAGTCGACGTGAATACTGATGGTAGAGTTGATGAGAGTTATCGACCTTTCGTGTCGAAAGGGTTAATATCTTTGACTGGGAGAACAGAAGATCAGAAAGAGATAAGAATACTCAGAGACACTGGTGCGATGCAATCGTTTATTTTAGTAGATAAAATAGAGCTGTCTTGTGATACTTTCTGTGGTTCTAGTATAATCGTGCAGGGAATTGAGATGGGTTGTATGAAATTTCCACTACATCAAGTACACTTACAGAGTGAATTGTGCACTAGTTTTGTTAGTTGCTGTTTGTCCGTCACTTCCTGTGAAGGGAGTTGATTTCATTCTAGGAAATGATTTAGCAGGTGGTAAGGTCTGTGATCGAGGTAATGGAAGAACCAAATGTGTCCTGTGAGTTAGAAAGATTAGCTGAAACTTACCCTGAAGCTTTTCCAGCTTGCGCTGTCACACGCGCTCAGTCACGCAGAGTAGGTGATGTAGTAGATCTATCTAGCTCATTCATGTTTCCACTTTTGACTGGAGAGATGTTATCGGGTGTGAATCAGAGAGAAGAAAATAGTTCAGAGACAGAAAATAAAGGTGTGGTTGAGTTTGATGCAGAGTTACTAAAGTTACCTGTATCTCGTGAGAAAATTATCACTGCACAAAAGGAGGACAAAACACTTGTTAACATCTTTGGGGGTGCTGTATCTTTGGATGGTGTCAAAGACAGAAAAAGTGCTTACTTCATTGAGAATGAACTACTGATGAGGAAATGGTGTTCTCATGTTGATGAAAACTTAGATTGGAATGTTGTTTATCAAGTTGTGGTTCCGTTTCCTTATCGTCAACATGTCTTGTTTCTGGCTCATGATCACCAGCTTTCTGGTCATTTAGGAGTTACTAAGACCTATAACAGAATTTTGAGTCATTTCTTCTGGCCAGGATTAAAGAAAGATGTTGCCCAATACTGCCGTACCTGTCACACTAGTCAGATTGTGGGAAAACCAAACCAGAGTATACCACTTGCTCCTTTGACTCCAATACCGGCGACTGGAGAACCATTTGAACATGTGCTTGTTGACTGTGTTGGCCCATTACCTAAGACTAAGAATGGTAATCAGTTTCTGTTAACTATCATGTGTGTGAATACCAGGTTTCCAGAGGCGATTCCTTTGAGGAAAATCACGGCACCTGTGGTCAGCAAAGCGTTGGTGAAATTCTTTTCCACATTCGGCTTACCGAAGGTAGTGCAAACGGATCAAGGTACGAATTTTCTATCGAAACTATTTAAACAAGTGCTTGAGTCACTAGCAATTTCTCATAGAGTTTCGAGTGCATATCATCCGCAAAGCCAGGGCCCATTGGAACGTTTCCACCAAACTCTGAAGTCAATGCTGAA